AGGCTGCGCTACGTGCACAGGGTCGACGAGCCCACCTCTTCCCTGCTGTCCCTACTGGGCGTGGGGACACCTCTGGAGGCCCCATGCTTGGGTTTATCTAGAGTAGAGGGCTACTCGGATGCGTCGGTGCCTGGTCGCGTTGGATTGCTGCATCTCGGAGGCGTTCTACCTGGAGGAGTTTTGTCGCCAGTGCCTGTTTGCATACTAGTGTTGGTCTCTCCCCGTGGAACATCCTGCGTGACTTGGGGGCCAGGTAAAAGCAATTGGGATGGCTTCCAGTCTGATGGGCGGCTTCAATCTGGAGCCTGATGCGCTAAATTACAGCGGCTGGGTCTCAGCCCTAGACGCTGTCATCGCTGCTGAAGAAGAGGGGGCGCGCCGTCCTGCAGATCGAGCCATTGACCATGGCGTCGCCAGCCGCGAGCTCGCAACTGGAGCACGTGCGACTGTGCTTTGCGACGTGGCCACGGCGCCGCACTACCCCGTCCAGCTCGCGGCGGCATGCACGAAGGATTCGCGTCGCGTCAGGGTTGCCAAGATTCCGAGGCGTTCCCCGACTGAGGTCCCCGCGGGGCCCAGGAATAGGCCCGCCGCGGGTCGGTGGGATCAAGTGAACGTGGGCGCGCAGTCTGGGAACGCCACGGCGTCGCGGGAGTCCTATGTCCGAGCCGCGGAGCTCGAGTTTCTCGAGGCGCGCCAGATTGATGGAGAAGCTGCTCCGAGCAGTTTGGGGAAAGAGCGCCATATCGAGTTTTCCTGGAGTAAGCCTGGGCGACCGGGACCGCCTGCCTCCCCGAAAGGTAGCCCCGTGGCCACCCGGTGGCGTTCCGTTGGGGCGCTGTTTTCGGAGTCTGCAACGCCGTGCGATTCTTCCAGGACGTCGCAGCTCTGTCGGACAGCCCGCCGTCATCAGGGATCGAAGCACGCATCGAGCCAATCTGCCGTCTGCTTCTGCCGCGTGCTCGACTTGCTCGCGCGCCCTGACATGCTCTACCCCTTCGCTGCCTGTCTGTCTACACTTGCGCCCGAGCATGCTGCTCTGTGAAGTCGAGGGCGCGCCGTGCGTGAGAAGGCGGGCCGAGCGGCAGCACATTGTTAGACACGCGCATCTTCCTGATGCACGCCAGTCTTCCTCTTCTGTGCAGCACGCGCCCGCAAACAGCATGCAGGAGATAGCTGCGCCCGTGGTTGGGCGGGAGCAACGGTGGCGGGTTGGAGCCAAAATACCCCCCCATCCAATGGCCCGCGCATCTCGGCGAACGACCCCCCCCCGACCCTGGGCCACCTGAAAGGGGTCCCGGGCACGTTCCCCGCGGGGAAGGGATGCGGGTTGGACCAGCTGCCGCCGAGACAACTTGCGATGCCCCCTGACGAAGCGCTCGAGATTGCCAGCTCCTCTCAGCGATTGAGCACCGGGCCACCTGGCCGCCTATGACTACCAGAACGGCGTTCATTCTAAAGCGGCTTGGCGGAGTACGCTTGCTTGGCTCACCCCATTGTCTCTGTCGCGCGCAAGCGCGCATCAGGCGCGACCTCCTTCAGCAATGGCAGAGGAGTAACTATCGATACTTCTGGTGGGCCACGCGCGGGAAGTCTTCGGCGCCATCGGTTTGGCTGCAGGCGGGGCGGGCTGAGTGCCGTGCTGATTCGGGCAGTGGCACGGCCACCCTCCTCCTGGACCTCAAGGAAGCTTTCGAGCTCGTTCGGCACTCGCGCCTCATCGAGGCAGCTATCAAGACGCGCTTTCCCCCTTGGCAACTGAAGCAGAGTGTGCTGGCATATCGCGCACCGCGCGTCATCGAGCTGCAGTGCTTCTGCAGCGAGCCCACCCTGGTCGACACGGGGGGTAGTATAGTTTTGACCATACGACGTCATGCTGTCGACGCCCCCTGCCCCCCCCCCGTAGAATCTTAGCGACATGTTTTGGGTCGGGCGGCGGTTCGACTCCGATGGGCTCTCACCCTGTAAGAATATAATAATATATATTTAAAACAGGGTGATAATTACTCCGTCCCATTTACAATAGGGCCGGAAAACACTCCGACTTGAACCCATTCACAGTAAACCACTCCGCTTGGGTCACGCTTGATCGTCCGCGTCATCATCCCCATCGACCCTGTCCTTATCATGCCAACGCGATGTTTCATTGTATTCCTTGTTGCATTGATGCTGTGAGACCCTGGGCATCCTTCTCCGATGCGGTCGCTCTCGGTTCACTGGTTGGCCGTCCCAGAGGGCCCACAAAGGCTCGCGAATCCGCATCAAGGCACCTTTGCATCCTGATCGGTCCTCCGCGGCACGCGTGACCAGCGAGGCAATTCTCATCTTATGGTCAAAAACTTTAGTACCCCCGAAGGATCAGACCATTGTGCCTGGCTGCCTTTGTGCGACCTGCCTCATTCAGCTCATGCTGGTTGGGGCCCTCGTTGAGGTTCGCAGAGAATATCCCACGGTACCTTCTGCAGTATGCGTTGATGATGTTGGGCTGCAGAGGTGCCGTGCTGCTAGGCACGTCATTGATGACGCATCTGGGGCTGGTGCATCGCTTAAGCATGGGCTGAAGCGGGTCGACCTCGTCATCGCCCTCGGCGAATCCAGAGCGCTGGCCAGCACCACCGCTGTTCGGCGGCAAGGCTCCCGGGGCACATTCGGAGCGCAACCTCGAGGTGGATTTTTCAACTGGAAGAATGGCGAGACGCCGCACGCGAGCTGCACGCGCACATGTTGCAAAAGGCGAAGTTCAAGCGAGCGATGCACTTGCAATGAGCGCATGCGCGCAAGAAGACACGGCCGCACATGGCGCGCGCATCCATCGAGACCATGGTCGCATGTGGCACGGCTGCTCAAGATACTAGCGCGGGGGAGCTTGAGTCTCTCCGCGCTATGGCTGCTGCGCCTCTTGGGGCGAAGGCTGCTGGCAGATCCAGACCGCTGGCCTTGCTCCTCACGCCGAGCCCCGATTTCGACCCCATCGGTCGTGCCACTTTGGAGCCCGTCAAGGCCTTCATGCGCGTGCTCTGGAGGACCCTCATCCCCATCAAAACCCTCGAGAAAGGTTAAGCTGCTGCTGCCGCTCGCCTGGGGCCCCACTACTCCCCCTGGCAGGCCATCAAGGGGCACTTTTTATGCGCTCTGGGCCTCCCTCAATCGGGTGGGTATTGATGCTGGGGCCATCGTCTCAGATGCTGAAGGTTTCCGAGCATTTCAAGGTTCCTGCGTTCCTCGAGGGCATCTGGATCGAGCCGTTGCGCTCGCTTCATACTTCCAGGCTGCTGTCGGCCCAAGAGGCCGACCTTCGGTCGGTGGCTATCGGGGCTCAATGGCATCGGGCCAGAGAATTCGAGCACGGCTGGATCCAGGACCCCCTCTGTATGGTCTGTGAATCCTTTTCCGGGCACGCTCCCCCGCAGGCATGCGGAGTGTGAGCATGTCCCCGATCTTGTCGCGCCCGCGCCGCCGCTCGCGTCTTTGCCGGCAAGGCCAAGGACAACAAAATATTTGAAGTATTCCTCGGGCGACTTGTGCCTGCCCAGCCAGCTGCGCCGCCCGATCCGATTCAGTTCCCAGTGCAGCCCTACCTCCAATGGCAAGGAGACCCCATGAGGTTCACTGGGGACATATTCCCGGACGGGTCCTGCTTCGAGGGGTTACCGCCTTATCCATTGGCAAGCTTTGCAGCTGTTGCGTTGCATCCGCAGGCTGAGATTGGGGTGTGTACTGCTACGGGATTTCATCCAGGGCCGCATTAAGACATTGACGGTGCCAAGCTGTTTGCATTGTACATTGCTTTGCTTCACGCCGTACCTCCTGTTGCGATTATCTCTGACTCCAGCTTTTTGGTCCAGGGCGTCAACCTACTGGGAGAGGACCGCACCACTACCGCAGGGCATGCCTGGGCCCACCTCTGCAGGCTTGTTCGGCAGAAGATTCACTTCACGATTGGGGTGATTCATCAGAAGAGACCCTCGTCAGCTCATCCAGCGACATCAGAAGTTCGTCAAGGGCTTGGGTGTCTGGGTGTCCCGTGTCAGAGCGGCATCGTGTGAAAAAGATTGCCTGCATCGTGAGCGTCGTGCCCGAGCTTCTGAGGCCCCTCCCCCTCTTGCGCCCACGTTGCAGGAACGTGCGAAAGCCACACATCAGATGCATGTTGTCCGTGGTGCCAAGGCGCACAGGTTGTATACGTTCTCGGCTCCACTCAGCCAAGCCCCACTAGGTATTTTGTTGCAGTCTCTGTGGCTCTTTCAGCTCCAAGAGGCTCGCCAGGGGCCTCACCTCCCCGTGCCCTCCTGTAGCCCCCAAGAGGGGTAAAACCGTGGGTTCCAGGTTGGCCGACGAGAGATTCAAGATTGGAAATCTTATCTATAGATTGCAGAGCTCGAGGCCCTGTGACATCCGTCCAACGCGGGCGGAAACACCCGCTAGCCCAAGGCATTCCCCCGCAGCCGGTTGCCAGTTCGTCCGAGGCCCGCATACGGAGGCGTCGCGCCCCCCTGTCCGTTTGCCGGTTCGTCCGAGGCCAGCGCAGGGTGGGCCGCGCGCTCGCTGTCGCGGGAAACGTTCAAGAAAACCGCTCACTGCAGCGGCTTCGAGGCTCACCGCTGTCTTCGTCGACCGTCAGGAAATTCACCTGACGGAGACGGCGGCCCCGCGGTGGGGCAAACGCATCGCGTCCGCCCCCTTTGCTGTGCCCAGGAGGCGGAGGAGAAGGAGGACGAGGGGGATGAGGAAAAGGAAGGAGGACGAAGGAGGACGAGGAGAGGAGGAATGAGGACGAGGAGAGGAGGAGGATGAGGAGGAGGAGGAGGAGGAGGAGGCTGCCTCTCTTCCTTCCTGAGGCGGATGAGGAGGATGAGAAGGAGGAGGAGGAGGACGAAGGAGGACGAGGAGAGGAGGAAGAGGAGGAGGCTGCCTCTCTTCCTTCCTGAGGCGTTGGCGGGGCGCCCTGCTCAGGCGGAGCTGCCGCCCCCGCAGGCCGCCCCGAAGGCTCCGCGGCGGGCTCCTGCGGCTGCACCTCGACTTCGGCCACGCCGTCCAGCACCTCCCCGGGGCCGCCCGGCGGAGCGGCCGGCCGCCCGAGGCGCTCAGGCCCTGCGAGGAGCAGCGTGTCAGGGGGGGGTAGCTCTAGGAAGAGGGAGGACGGCCCCGCTGCGGGGGCAGAGGAGGAGGGCTAGTGAGAAGGAGTGAGCAGGAGGAGTGAGGAGGAGCGAGGAGGAGGAGGAGGAGGAGGAGGGAGGAGGAGGAGGAGGAGGAGGTGAGGAGGAGGAGGGGAGGGAGGGAGGAGGGAGAGGAGGAGGAGGGGGGGGAGGGGAGAGGAGAGGAGAGGAGAGGAGGAGGAGGAGGAGGAAGAGGAGGAGGAGGAGGAGAGGTAGGAGAGGAGAGGAGAGGAGAGGAGAGGAGAGGAGAGGAGAGGAGAGGAGAGGAGAGGAGAGGAGGAGGAGGAGGAGGAGGAGGAGGAGGAGGAGGAAGAGGAGGGCACGACGCCATGCGGGACTGGCACACGAAGAAGCGCACCAACCTCACCGGCATCGCAGCTCCCACTGAACAGCTCGTCCCAGCCTGGAACCGCGTACTGGCTGCCAAGTTGGACATCGCCACTCGTGACCCCGCAACGGGTCGCGACGACATCGTTGATTGGAACACTACCTGCGAATATTATACCTACGCCCCTCGCATGCAAGCATGCTCCAACATCGATGGCGTCGATGCGGCGACCATGGTGCGGACGAAATAGAACCGGTACCCCCCCAGCGGGGGTGATCTCGCCCCGCTGGTCTTCGAGACGCTCGGGCGCCCGTCTGACGAGGCTGCGGAGTTCATCCAGGCGTACGACCACTACGTCGACGAGGCGGACAGAGGCGAGGTGCTCGGCGGCCTCTGGATACAGCTGTCGCGCCAGCTCCAGCGCGGCAACACGGAAATGGTGATCAGCGCCATTGGACAATGAGCCCCCTCAACTGGGTAATTGAAGCGCCGTTTCGGCGCCGCCGCTGCAGCACCACCCGCGGCAACACCAGCGCCGGCAGCAGCGCAGTGACCACGACACCGACGACGGCGACGGCTGCTGTTTCCCGTCCCCCGCGCTCCGCCGCCCCCGCCTCCGCACCCCCCCGCTGACGACCGCAACGACGACGACGACGCCGGCAGTCGCCGCCTCCTCGGCCCACGGGCCCACCCAGCTCGGCCTCCACAACGGCCACTCCGCCCAGCAGCGAGGCCTCGCTCGACCACCACGGCCCCGCGTCTG